AAACTGGTGTTATGTGCTCTATCTTCCTGGTTTTAGTGAGAACGCGAGCAACGGCATTCTGGATCAGCTGCAGCTGTTTGATTGATTTATTAGTCAGACCTGTGAAGACGCTGTTGCAGTAATCAATGCGGCTGAAGATAAATGCATGGATGAGTTTCTCTAGATCGCGGTGAGACATCAGTCCTCTAATCCTGGAGATGTTCTTCGGGTGATAGAAGGCCGACTTTGCGACTGTCTTAATGTGGCTCTGAAGGTTCAGGTCAGAGGTCATCACTACTCCCAGGTTTCGGGCTGATCGCTGGTTTTCAGTTGTAATAACTGAAGCTGTACACTGATTCTAGTGCGCGCCTCTTTAGGTCCAAAGATAATAACTTCAGTTTTGTTTCTGTTCAGCTGGAAAGTTTTGGCACATCCACACATTTATCTGTTCTAAGCAGCTATTCAGTGATTGGATGGTTCAGAGTCACCTGGTGACATCGTGATGTAGAGCTGTGTATCATCCACGTAGATAGGGTAGCTGATCTTATTTCCTGTTATAACCTGAGCCAGTGGGAGCATATAAATATTGAATAAGAGGGGTCCTAGGATTGAACCTTGGGGTACCCCACATGTGACCTGTGACCTCTCTGATGAGAAGTTTCTGATTGAAACAAAGAAATCCCTGTTCTTTATGTAAGATTCCAACCAATTGAGCACTGGACCGGAGAGTCCGACCCAACTCTCCAGTCGATTCAGTAAGATGTTGAGGTCAACGGTGTCAAAAGCTGCACTGAGGTCCAACAGAACCAGCACTGTGGTTCTCTCACTGTCTATTTATATGGATGTCATTGAACACTTTGACTAGGCCGTCTCCGTGCTGTGCTGAGCATGAAAACCAGACTGGAAGGAGTCAAAGCGATTCATTATTGTTAGGAAGTTATTTAATTGTTTAAACTGCTTTTTCAATAACTTTACTGATGAATGGGAGGTCAGAGGTCGGCCTGTAATTCTGCAGTAGTGATTTGTCCAGATTGTTCTTTTTTATCAGTGGTTTGATAACTGCTGTTTTCAAAGCCTGGAGGAAAACACCTGAAGAGAGCGATGAGTTACTATTTGGATCAGATCATTAGCAACGACAGGCAGGACTTTCTTAAAGAAATGTGTGGGTAGGACATCCAGACAGCAGGAACTGGAGCTTAATTGACTTATAATTTCTTGAAGGGTTTTATAATGAAGTAGTTGAAATTGGGTCATTGTTCCTGCATTTGTTTTGTTTAGGCACAGCATTGGTACTGGCTTTGGAGTGGATGTGCAGATTAATCCTCTGATTTTTTGAATTTTCTCTAAGAAGAAACTGGAAAACTTGTTGCAGGCTGCATTAGATTGAAGTTCAGGTGGCAACATCGTAGGAGGGTTTGTGAGCCTGTCAACAGTAGCAAATAGAGCTCAAGCATTTTTAATGTTTTTGTTTATGATATCTGCAAAGAAAGCCTCTTTTGCATGTTTTAGTGTTGAGATTTCTTTATAGATGTCATAATAAATGTGAAGTTCAGCTTTACGCCATTTTCTTTCCGCCCTACGGCAGAGTTGTCTAGCAGATTGAACTGTTTGTGCATTTCTCCATGGAGATTTCTTCCTACCAGTCACAACTTTCACTTTAATGGGGACAATGTAATCAATGGCATCTGAAAGTTTGCACTGAAAATCATCTACCAACTTATCTACGTCATTACAGCTTAAGGGCGGGGAAGAAGAGTAGATTTGATCAAATGTGATCCGACAGCAGTGGTGGAGAAAGTACTCAAAAAATGTACTTAAGTAAAAGTACAAATACACAGGCAAATACATTTTTGTACTCAAGTAAAAGTAAAAGTACCACATTAACATTTTACTTAAGTAAAAGTAAAAAAGTACTGGCTTTTAAAAATACTTAAATATTAAAAGCAAAAGTACTTGCTGAATGCATTACCTAATCGCTAATATCATTAAGTGAACCTATTGTATTTAATTTTAATACATCAGAATGTCCCATTTTAATGAACAGTGCCACAGATAAAGCATGTTTTTATTGTGTTTGCTCTCTGAAACATAGTTTAGACCAGGGGTCACCAATTCCAGTCCTCCAGGGCTACCATCCTGCAACTTTTAGATTTACCTCTGCTCCAAAATGTCTGAATTCCCTCAACAGCATTCATTCCTCTCTGCAATAGGCTGGAAACGAGGAGTTCATTTGATCCAGGTGTGTTTGAG